TATAAGCCATGTCTCTGCACTTCCTGTTTGCCAGATTATTGTGCTCTCCAGCCAGTATCATGCTCCTATTCATCTCTGTTATTATCCATATTTTTGCTACCACTCGTTATTGACCCTTGGCTTGTTCTCGACTATGCTTCTACCTGATCCCAACCTGCGACTGCTCCTTACTGACCTTGCCTTGTTTACTGACCACGCTTCTGTTTGATCCTTACCTGCTTATACGCTACTGGACCTCCGCTTGCTCACCTCCTGGTGAGGTGATCCTGAGGACCACGACCTGGTACTAACATGCAGCAAAATCCATCTCCACCATCAGGAGCTCTGGTGAACACTGGTTGGTACTTAGACTCCGCACCTCGGGTGATCCTACTCCTCCGCCACGGTGACCTGTCTGTGTATCTATCCTGCTGGTTTCAGATGAGCCTTTCCACTGCTATAGCAACTGGTCTTTGAGCCTTACCCCTGATCGTGACAGCAGGTTACAAACTACTAGGTGCTAAGGCTGCATTAACACTTGAGCGTTTTGTAGCTTGAAGCTCGAAGCTCCAAAAATGCTCAAACTTAAAAAAATCAATTGTTCTCTATGGTGCCTGATCACGCAAACAGGCACCATAAAAAACAATTGATTTTTTTAAGTTTGAGTGTTTTTTGAGCTGTGAGCTTTGAGTTTCGAGCGGGTTGGAAACCGAGTTCCAGCTTGGTTGCACAACAGTTGGAGGATCTCTCTATCATCACTGATGATTCTGTCTTCAGGTCTTTGACATAAGATGTATGCCCTATCGCAATCTTCTTTTAGGGACCCCTGCAACAAGACTTTGCTGCAACATTCATCTGCAAGTATCTTTATTTATTTATAAATATATATATACCTCGTATATGTATGCAATGTCACCAGGACTCCTGAAGGCCTTTTGCTGATAATACCTGTTTGTATATTGGATGTATGTACTATTACTAATCTTTTCTTATATTAAGTGTGTGCTATTTTTTACTGGTGTAGCTATATATTTATGGTTAATGTTATATTTTGGCTGCAGTAGTTCCTCTTTTCCCATTTATTTGATTAGATTACTGGTTCATTTCCCAGGATGGCAATCCCCTTTACTCTCAGAGATATCTTGAATGGAGGCACTGCCAACTTTATAAGCAAACACTCTCTACCACTTAACGAAAGGTTCTGGTTCTCTTGTTTACCTACAGATTTAGCAGAATATCCTGGTTGGTGAAGCCCAGTCTCATAACCATGTTATCAGCCTTCCCAGCTATCCATGTAATTTTAGCTATCAATGTAATGGAGATGAGGAAGGTTTGTGTTTGTAGATCAAATCAGGAGATAATCCAAGGTGATAATGCTGTTCCTTCATTGATACAGTACAGTGAACTAGCTAGCGTTGTCAGCTTAGTACTTCAAGTGTGTCATTGGCAGGACCATCACTGAAAATGAAGGGAAAAAAGCCTATAAAAAGGAAACTACTGTAATACAGCCATTGCATCTAAGGATTAGAAAGCTGCAATATACAGTATAAAATGTTTGTTATGTTGTATAGATACCATTTATCTTTCTGTCTATATATCTGTTTTGGATGGAATGGCCCTTTATTTCTCTGTCTTCACTCAATAACATGTAATTTTAGTGTCATATGCTACGTAACCTGTACATTTCTAGCTAGCTGAATTGGGAACAGAAAAGGTTGTCACTTTTAGAAGGTAAACTGATCATTGTTTGTCATATAACACTTTCATCCATTTCTATCTTTACTTTCTCTTATTGTCTTTTACTATTTATATTGAAAAAGAATAACTTACTTAGCTAATTTGCCAGACTAGACACAATGCCCTGTCATCATATAGCCATGGAATTTCTTGGAGACAGTTAAGAGTTTACATTATCTTTCACGTTAAAAAAAAAAAAAATCTGATTTCTTTTGTAAATCAAATTGCACTTACGTAGAGATTAATTTTAATGTGTATTTCACAGTAATTTCAGTGTTTACAAATTTGACCCTCTTCTCATTTAGTGTTTCATGAACAACGTAGAGTAGTAATGCGTCATTTAGAATTCTGGGAGCTTAAAGTGAATACTATTTCAGTCTCGAAATTGTACAGCATTGACATGTTGTCAGAATGTCATCTTCTTCTGCTATACCTTGACTTGTTTTTTTCATCCTGCTAGTTGGCATACGGTGCTTCCTTCTAAAACGTTAGCAGGAAATTATACTTAAAGCATTAATTAAAATTGCAAAAGAAAAAAAGACCCTTTTTATAGCTCTGTACAAGTTATAAATTATACAATGTACTTGATACCAAGTTAAGGTCAACATTTTAATTGTTAAACTTTAACAATTAATTTAGTGCTTTGAATTGAAAAAAAAGAGCAAAAGCCCCAGGTATAAAATCATTGTTAAAAGGCTAAGTATTTTTACCGTGAGTGACAGTCACTGTCTTCTAGTTCTGACTTTTCCCAGAGCTCTGTAAATGTCAGTGTTCCTGAAGCTTTTAAGGCCACTTTTTCTCCAAGTCCAAATTAATAAAATGAAGTCTGTTCATTCAGTACATCTGGCTCTCTGGCACAGCGGGTAAACTATAAAAAAAATCCTTCAAAATGTTTTCGCTAATAGTAGGTGCCTACAGATACTTCGCAATGGAGATGAAAAGTGATTACTGTCCTAAGCACCTTGCTACAGTTAAAATGCCTTTAAATTGAGTTTTATTGTATGACATTAAAGTGGACCTGAACTAAAAAAAATAAGATTTGCTGTGTTATAGGGAACATCTAGAAATATTAATTGTTCTTAAGCATTACCCTAAAAATATGTCTGGAATTCCTGTAGAAAAATAGAAGTGCACGCTTGGTATGTGAGGGTGTCTGGCCACTCCTGTGCCTACAGCCTCAAAGCTGTGTATACTGTATGCAGCATGAGATATAAGGAACTTCTGCATTTAACTGCTAGATTTACCAGATTAGGAGTGATATTTGATGATGTGCTGCTCAATGTTCTCTTCAGTAGAGACTCTGCTATTTGGAAACAAAACTTCCTCTACAAAGATGGCCACCCCACACAGAGAATAGTACCAAGTAAATCAAATATTGGGTAAAGATCAGCTGTAGGGACACCATAGGCTTTGCTGGTGACTAATCTTTTGGCCTCTACCATTTTGGTACCTCTTTAAGACAAAATAGAAGTTTTTTTTCAAAATGCTAGCATGAACAGTGACTAGTTACATTTGTTTTACGCTGAATGTTTCTACTTTAAACTTTTAGAGATCAGGTTGGGCTTTTTGTTACCTGTGCCTGCTGTGACTAGTCTACTGGGATTAGTCTTTCTGTGTATTGTAACAGGTCAGCTTGAGTTTTTAACCACTTGCCCTCCGGAAGATTTACCCCCCTTCATGACCAAGCCACTTTTTGCAATGCAGTGCTGCTCTACTTTAACTGACAATTGTGCAGTCATGCAATACTGTACCCAAACAAAATGTATATCTTTTTTTTCACACAAATAGAGCTATATTTTGGTAATATTTGATCACCTCAGGGTTTTTTATTTTTTAATATAGAAAAGAAAAAAGACTGACAATTTTGAAAAAAAAAATATTTTTTACATTATGCTATAAAACATATCCCATAAAAAATGTAAAAAAAAAATCAAATATCCTAATACATTTTGACCAAAATGTATTTTGCTACGTCTTTTGTAAAAAAAAAATCCCAATAAGTGTATATTGATAGGTTTGTGTGAAAGTTTCAGCGTCTACAAACTAGGGGATATATACTGGAATTTATATGTATTTATTTTTTTATACTAATAATGGCGACTTATAATGGGAATGCGACACTGTGGCCATCAATCTGATACTAATTGGTGCTGGGGGGAACTAACTAACCACCACTGACATCATTAGTGCCATTATTACAGTGATCAATGCTAATAATATGCACTGTCATTGTACTAATGACACCGGGCAGGAAGGGATTAACATCTAGGGCGATCAAGGGGTTAAATATGTGCCTAACATGTGTTTTTGTGTACTGTGTGCTGCTTTTACTGTGGATCTAGTTGTTTTCAGTCAATGAAAAATCAATTAGATCCCTTCCGCTGAACACAGCTCTGTGCTGTTTACACTGACAGAGCAGTGTTCTATGAGTTTCAGAGCCGAGCACCGGGTTCCGGTAGTCAATCACTGGCTGGCACCCAGGGATTGGCATGTGCTGTGATGAATCAATATCTAGTAATGCAGACTCACGTATATATATGTGATTCCAAGTACAGCGGCCACCCTGCAGTTGTAAATCTACAATAGGCTGGTCGTAAAGTGGCTAACACTGGTTTGTGAGAGTTTATTGAAATTAGATGAAAGTACCGTATTTTTTGCTCCATAAAATGCACTTTTTTGCCCCCAAAAAAGGGGGGAAAATGTCAGTGCGTCTTATGGAGCGAATATAAAGCGGCCGGTCCGGTATTTTTGCGGCCACCATGTCAGAATACCGGATCGGCCGCTCAGCTGTTGTCTCCTGCAGGGCCTTACCTGTTCCTCGCTCCAGCGCTGCACAGTCTTCCCGCGCTGGCTTCTGTGACAGCCGGGTGCCCACTGCGCATGTGCTGCGCTTTGTGAATGATCCGGTGTCTTCTGGGACACATGACAGGTCCCAGAAGGCGCCGGGCCATTCACAAAGTGCAGCGCTTCTCACGCATGCGCAGTGGGCACCCGGCTGTCACAGAAGCCGGCCCGGGAAGAAGAGGTAAGGACAACTCCGCGGAAGTGGGAGCGGGTACCTGTCAAATTCAGGTACCCGCTCCCCCTCCCTCCCCAAAGGTCAGCAGTCTCTGGTGATTCCCTGCACTGTCTGCAGTCTCTGGTCATTCCCTGCACTGTCTGCAGTCTCTGGTCATTCCCTGCACTGTCTGCAGTCTCTGGTCATCCCCTGCACTGTCTGCAGTCTCTGGTCATTCCCTGCACTGTCTGAAGTCTCTGGTCATCCCCTGCACTGTGTCTGCAGTCTCTGGTCATCCCCTGCACTGTGTCCGCAGTCTCTGGTCATCTCCTGCACTGTGTCCGCAGTCTCTGACCATCTCCTGTACTGTGTCCGCAGTCTCTGGTCATCCCCAGTACTGTGTCTGCAATCTCTGACCATCTCCTGTACTGTGTCCGCAGTCTCTGGTCATCTCCTGCACTGTGTCCGCAGTCTCTGGTCATCCCCTGCACTGTGTCCGCAGTCTCTGGTCATCCCCTGCACTGTGTCCGCAGTCTCTGGTCATCCCCTGCACTGTGTCCGCAGTCTCTGGTCATCCCCTGTACTGTGTCCGCAGTCTCTGGTCATCCCCTGTACTGTGTCCACAGTCTCTGGTCATCTCCTGTACTGTGTCCGAAGTCTCTGGTCATCCCCTGTACTGTGTCCGCAGTCTCTGGTCATCCCCTGTACTGTGTCCACAGTCTCTGGTCATCTCCTGTACTGTGTCCGCAGTCTCTGGTCATCTCCTGTACTATGTCTGCAGTCTCTGGTCATCTCCTGTACTATGTCTGCAGTCTCTGGTCATCTCCTGTACTGTGTCCACAGTCTCTGGTCATCTCCTGTACTATGTCCACAGTCTCTGGTCATCTCCTGTACTGTGTCCGCAGTCTCTGGTCATCTCCTGTACTGTGTCTGCAGTCCATTGGTTCAGAATATTTTTTTTCTTGTTTTTCGCCTCTAAAACCTAGGTGCGTCTTATGGTCAGGTGCGTCTTATGGAGCGAAAAATACGGTATATTTATAATACTTTAAACTATGACTCATGCCAATCCTTTTGCTATCCTTATTACAATACCTGTGCATAGGAGCCATTGTGCACCATTTACTGCTCTGTCTGTCTCTCATATCACCCTTAGATAGCAGCTATGAAAACTCTGTGTTACAAATCAGCTTCAGAAATTAGATTTGTAATGCTAGTATACAGTCATGCCTGGAACATGGACATCAGCCCTCTTTTGCTGATTGGCTGAAATGTTATCAAAATTTGATATTTTAAAAACTAATGAAGGAAAAACTTTGCTTTTCATTTTATTTCATCATTGGCCATTAATAATTATTGATTAGGAAGTCTTTAAACATGATTTTCCAAGACATTGCTTGTTGCTGGAAGATGCACCAGAAAAATCAATGAAACAGTGAAATCTTTTTATGTTTTCTGTTTTAATATGATAGTACAACCTTTAATAAAAGTAACTCTTGGTAGCTGAAGTAGGGGGCCATGACTTCTGAGCTTTCACAACTATCATGAAGTAAGCGTAACTATACAGCTCATAATAATTGCAGACAACTAAGTTGAAATTTTACCTGAGGTCATAAGTAATATCAAGTGTTTTTTTCTGTATGTTTGAAATCATATTTAATTTATAGCTAAATGTAACTGAATGCCAAGGTAAAACTATAAAAGAATTATAACCCTTTTAGTGACTTGTCCAAGGTCATGAGCAGAGATCCAAGAATCAACGTTTAGTTTCAATTCACAGTGCAGTACTGTCTATTTAGGTAGCACTTTGTCAAGACAGATTTTATTATTTTGGTTGCTGCTTAGTTTTGTTTACAATTCTCTAAAATAGAAAAATACAGGAAATAAAAACTTTTTTATTTGATACGCGAGGAACTAATTAATTTATCTCTAATGTTGGGAACAAATAACACTATATTTTTAAAGATCCCCTTTCATTCGCTTGATATTTATAGAATTTCATGCCAAACTATATATAGCTAAAAGTTTTTTTAGTTTTGAATAGAAAGAAAGAAGTGGGGAATGGTACAAGTCCCTGTCAGTTTTTATTTTTTGCTCTCTGAGATTTCTCCTTAACATGCACTCCAGAGATGCAGTGATTCAAAAATTAATGCTGCGCTACTTTCATAAGGATAATGGTAAAGTGCTGAAAACCTCCCTTAATTTATGTATGCGTAACTTAAAATGAAATAAAACCTCAAAACATCAATTATCATGACTCTTGTTATTATCAATAATGATGATACCCCCACAGAGGACAGCTCTGGATACAAAAATAATGAACAATTAAAAATAAATAAATAAAAAATGCTACCAAATAATCACAGTCTTTTAGTGATGGTTACACTCCCACCAATGTCTGTCTATTAAAATCAAACCAATTAGCTCTGCGCCTTGGATGGTACAAACAGTGCTAAAGAGTTAGCAAATAAAAACTATAAATTTGCCAGTGCATATAAAATGAAAAGTAATAAAAATCATTTATGTGAACTGTGACTATTGCAGCTGCAAATATGTGCTGACTAATGCACAAATAGCTGAAAAAAAAAAAGATAAAAATGCAGACCGCGCATGTCACTCCTGAAAAAAGCATGTGACCCCATAACATTATAATGCCTTCATTAAATATTATAACCAGAATCTGAAATGAGAATAAAATCAAAGCCCAACACAAAAAAGAGTCCCAATGTGATAATAGTGCTTGTGTTGCTATGGACATGAGACAGTGCTTCACTGCCCCACATGGACTAACACTCACCACAGGCGATAGACCAACTATCTCCAGTTAGGTCAATAGTGATTGTGGAGCATCCCCATATGCTTTCACCCCAGCTTGTGTGTTCCAGGTTCACTCAGAAGGAAGGGTGACATGGCAAAACGTTAAAAGCGTAAAACCATTCATATTCATTGAAAGGATGAAAAGACAAAAATCCACTCACTTGCAACAATGCCTGTGTAAACTGGCACTAGGTGTATACAGCTTGTTTGTTTAGAGGTAAAGATGGCTGCTAAAACAGAGAGTGGCTTGCATTCCATTTCTATTGCATTTTTATTTCAGATTCTGGGTTATAATATTTTATGAATGCATTATAATGTTATGTGGTCATGGGTTTTTTCAGGAGTGACATGAGCGGTCTGCATTTTTATCTTTTTTCAATTTCTATCTATTACCCTTCATATACAAGAAAAACATTCACATTAATTACACTCCCCTTCATGCAAACAAAAAACTTCAAAGAAAAAATATTGCATGCATGAAAAAACTGTGGAAACCCCAAAACTCAAAGTTCAGTTCCTATAACACAACAATTGCAAGAAACTGTCCCAATGTGATCTTCAATTCTTCATGCAATAATTTTTTTGCCCAACACCACCATGTGCTATCCTCCACCATATGCACCAACTTTGTGTAAAAGAAGTCAAAATGAGCTTTACCTTTTAAACGGGGTCAGTGACTCCAGCTGCAGTTTCCTCCAGGAATAGCCAATTGGATTCTGCTCCTCACTGGTTTACACTCTCCACAAGGTGTTATGTTCTAGCAATGCTCAAAAATCAGAACAGGACCATCATTGTGCTTATTGTACAAAACTCCAGTATTTATTAAAACCTCAAAAGAATGCCACTCACATTTAAAAGTGCACAATATTCTGGTGCACATCAGACTATCAGCATATACTAGCTGCCTGGCCCCCTTAACCCTTCCGCTGCCAGGTCCGTACAGCATACAGACCTACAGCACTGCTTCTAGCAGGCCAGGTCCATATGGCATACGGATCTACATTCGTCCTCTGCTATGATCTCATGGTCACTTAATATATATTACAAAACAGCGGGAGGGGACATCCCCCCTTCCTCCCCCTTCCGCAGCTCGCTCGGGCTCTCCTGACCCAACAGGAGACTCCTCACTTTTTTCTGTATTGACCTATGTGTAAAAAGAAGTCAAAATGAGCTTTCTCTTTTAAACAGGGTCAGTGACTCCAGCTGCAATTTCCTCCAGGAATAGCCAATTGGATTCTGCTCCCCACTGGTTTACACTCTCCACAAGGTGTTATGTTCTAGCAATGCTCAAAAAATTAGAACAAGACCATCATTGTGCTTATTGTAAAAAACACCAGTATTTATTAAAACCTCAAAAGAATATCACTCACATTAAAAATTGCACAATATTCTGGTGCACATCAAACTATAAGCATATATTAGCTGCGTGGCCCCCTTAACCCTTCCGCTACCAGGTTTGTACAACATACAGACCTACAGCACTGCTTCTAGCAGGTCAGGTCCATACAGCATGTGCATTTACATTCCTCCTTCTTCTATAAGCTCATGGTCACTTCAGCTATTACAAGCAGCGGGAGGGGACGTCCCCCCTCCCTCCCCCTTCAGCGGCTCTCTCGGACTCTCCTGTCCCACCAGGAGACTCAAGCAATCAGCTGGCATGTCCACCAGTTGGCCAGAGTCCCACACAAAGCCAGAATTGGCTTTGATCTGATTTCCATAGCAGTAACCTGGAAGTGATGACCTGACAGCATTTTACCCAGATGTCATCAGCACCATTTTTAAACAATTGAAAGCATTTAAACCACTGATATTGATGTTTGGAATGCTTTTAAGGGCAGAGGAGGGATTTGGGGCCTTATAGACCCCTGATCCCTCCATAAAGAGTACCTGTTACATGCCTATTGCTGTCAATCATGGGATGTTTACATTCCTTGTGACAGCAATAATAGTGATCAAAGAAATTTTTTTTAAAGCAACAGTGTAAACATAAAAACAATAAAATAAATTAATAATTTAAAAAAAAAATTAAAGTGCCCCTGTCCCCCCGTGCTAGCGCTCAAAGGCGAACGGTCGTTTTGGTCCTGCACACATGCAAACTGTAATAGGCCCACACATGTGAGTTATCACCAGGAACATCAGATCATGGGAAGTAATTCTATCACTAGACATCCTCGACATCTCTATAAATCTAAATTTGTAGCTTGTAAAGGCTTTTAAAGCATTGCCTATGAATAGTAAGATTTACTTTGTTTGTCGCCTTTGCATGGAGTGCACAATTTTAAAGCACAATTTGGTATCTATTTACACGACATTAACATCATCTTTTATATTTTACAAAAAAAGTGGGACATGTGTGTTTGTTTTTTTTTGCATTAAAATTCAAAATTTGTATTTTTTCCCAAAAATTGCACATAAACAATCATTGTGCAAATACCATGTAACATAATAAATTGCAAAAACCCACCAATTTATTCTCTAGGGCCTCCAATGACACAGCAGATCATGGAGTAAAAAAACAGTTTCCGGTTATCGGCAGCACTTTCCTCACACTGTCACAGCATGAGGAAAGTACTGCCGATAGCCGGCAGCTATCACAGAGCAGATCAGCACTGATCATCAGGACACTGATGATCAGTGCCCTGCAGTGTTGCCCAGCAGTGCCACCCACCAGTGCCCAGCAGTGCCTTCCACCAGTGCCCACCAGTGCCCAGCAGTGCTTCCCATCAGTGCCCACCAGTGCTACCCATCATTGTCCAGCATTGCCACCCATTCAGTGCCCCCCATCAGTGCCACCCATCAGTGCTGCCCAGCAGTTGCGTCCATCAGTGCCTCCCATCAGTGCCG